TAATGCCATTTGTTTTCTGAATTTTCGCAGGTAAAAGAATTCTGGAAGAAATACCCAGAGGCTGGGGCCGGGGCTAGAGCCCGTCAGCAAGGGATGGAGCAAATCCAAGCCAGTATTGATTGGGCGAAAAGCTATGCAGGAACAGTCGAAGCGTGGCTTAAGACGCAGGTCAAAGTCTAGGGCGTTTGAACGCAGCTGAGCGCAGATACCACGCGGGTTTGGTACCTGAGCGCAGATATCACGCATAATGTGCTGGTAAAGAAAACAGGCAAGCTCCTAAAAACTGCAGGACACTAAGGTGTGTAGAAATTTGTCCATTAATTCTAATCTTATCAATATTTTCGGTGATTATGAGATTTATATCTAAATTTAATTATGGCAGGCCATTTGTAATATTTTTATTCAGGAAAACGTTTAATCCTTAGCTGTAAACTAATCAATGAATCTGAAAAAATTGATTGTGGAAAATAAGAGCAGGGAAAATATATTTTGTGTTTGAGATCAACTGGAAGGTTTTTTAGATTCCAAAATAAAAAAGCTGTGTTCAAACAAATATCAAAAGATGTTTTGAATGGCTTTCATCTTTTTGCAATCAAAACCAAACAAAATAGGTTTAACTTTTTTTCACCTTGGAGGAAGAGGTGGCATTTGTTTGGCAGAAGCCTAGGCCTTAGCCTTGGAGAAGCAGGAAATTGAAATTTTTTTTTCGAAATAAGTTAAGCATGTTTACGAGCATTTGCACTTATTTATTTGCTTGGCAAAGTCCGTTTACGAAAGAATGATTTATGCAAGCACATTTGGCGACAAAGTAGTTGGTCATATATCAAGGCTATTGTTTGTGTTTGCACTTTCTCAGCCAAAAAGTAATGTCATAGACTTAGAAAAATGGCATTGACAGTCATCAACTTTTTTTATTGAAACCTCACCCTATAGCCTTGAGAAAGGCCTATTTTGGCAAAAAACTTACTCTATAGGCCTTGAGAAAAGAGCAATTGGAGTGAGCCCATTTTTACAAATTATAAGCCTACACACTTGAAAGAAGGACTGTTTTCAGAAGGAATTTTTTAGTTTCAATACCAAGTCTTTAAAGATTCGTTTTGATTGATAGTTTTTTGGTGAAAAACCTACAAGCTTTGGAAATTATTTTTTCAAGAAAATCACATTAAACCAATCAGTTTAATCTTTTCTTAAAAGGAAGACTTTTAGTGGCACTTTCTAGCCGATAACTGAACCTACAGCATTTGAAACGAACGCGTTTTCGCATTCGTAATTTTTACTAAGATCAATTTTGCTGGTAACTTTTTGGTAAAACTTTGCCTATAGTCTTGGAAAAATGACATTTTTGGTACGCTCTTTATATCGTGTAAAACTAAGCTTAAACTCTAGGGAAAAGGAGGCATTCTGGTGACCTTTTTTGTAGTATAAAACTGAGCCTATCTGTTTGGAAAAAGAAGCGATTTTGTTTCTCTTATTTTAGCCTATAGTCTTAGAAAACGGGGAGATTTTGGTAAACTCGTTTTGTGAAAAAGTAAGACTATAGTCTTGGTGAAAAAGAAATTTTTTGATTGGCAATTTCTTGGTAAAAAACCAAGCCGGTATTCTTGACAAGAGGGCAATTTAAGTGAGTTAGTTAAAGCCTATAGCCTTACTTTTTGATCAAAAATCGACCCCTAGAAAACGACTTTATTTCTTTCAAAAAAACAACCTTTTCTAGAAACTCATTTTAATTTTTCCTTTTTCTGATCAATTAAAGGGCAATGAGCCTGTTTTTAGAAGAAAAAATTTTCAAAAAATATCAACGATTTTCTAAGCCTATAGCTTTACTTTTTGATCAAAAATCGACCTGTATAAAAAGTCTTTATTTCTTCCAAAAAACAACTTTCTTCCAGAAACTAAATTCAATTCTTCCTTCTTTTGATCAATAAAAGGGCAATAAGCCTGTTTTAAGAAGGAAAAATTTTCAAAAAAAATCGACGACTTTCCTAAGCCTATAGCCTTACTTTTTGATCAAAAATCGACCCCTACAAAAAGTCTTTATTTCTTCCAAAAAAACAACTTTCTTCCAGAAACTAAATTCAATTCTTGTTTCTTTTGATCAATTAAAGGGCAATAAAACTGTTTTAAGAAGAAAAAATTTTCAAAAAAGTTTGACGATTTTTCTAAGCTTATAGCCTTATATTTTGATCAAAAATCGACCCCTACAAAAAGTCTTTATTACCTCCAGAAAACAACTTTTTTCTCGAAACTAAATTCAATTCTTGCTTTTTCTGATCAATTAAAAAGCAATAAGCCTGTTTTTAGAAGAAAAAAATTTCGAAAAAAATTGACAATTTTTCTAAGCCTATAGCCTTACTTTTTGATCAAAAATCGACCCCTACAAAAAGTTTTTATTACCTCCAGAAAACAACTTTTTTCTCGGAACTAAATTCAATTCTTCCTTTTTCTGATCAATTAAAGGGCAATAAGCTTGTTTTCAGAAGATAACATTTTCGAAAAAAATCGACGATTTTTCTAAGCCTATAGCCTTACTTTTTGATCAAAAATCGACCCCTACAAAAAGTCTCTATATCTTGCAAAAAACAACTTTTTTCTAGAAACTAAATTCAATTCTTGCTTTTTCTGAACAATTAAAGGGCAGTAAGGCTGTTTTTAGAAGAAAAAATTTTCAAAAAAA